ATTAATAAAATTTTTAATAATTTTAATTTTTTTCTAATTGCAGGTTCTCTCTAAATGCAGGTCAAAGTACTGGTCCCAACAACATGCACTTAGAGGGAGTCAACTGTAGTTTAAAATAGATAAAAAATTTAAAAAAATTAAAAAAAGATATATAATCAAAAGAATTATAATTATAGATTAGTCCAAATTCAAAATCTGGACAATAATAGAGAATGAATAATATAGAAGTATAAATAAAAACCAGGGAATAAGTTAAATTTTCAGCATCAGCCAATTTCAACACCAGCCACCATGATTATTATAATAGAAATTAAGCAATTATAATATATTAATTATACAGAAATTAAAATAATTATAATGAAACTAATTTAACCATATATACTATGGTTATCAAAATAGTGAATAAGCTCTGTAAGATAATTTTTTTAGAAACTCACAATAGAAATCAATAATTCCAATACAAACTAACACAAAATTATCTATATAGAATTCACAATAATTCTAATAAAAACAAGTTTGACCTTAATTATATAAAAATCAGAATTTTAGACAAGCTAAATTTTAAGTATATATTAAGGTTATTGTAATAGTGTAACAGAATTTTTTATAGTAAAAACATGAAAATTCTGATACAAACTGACTTAATTAATTACAAATAAATTATGACAGTTATAATGCAAACTAACTCTATCTTAAGTACAATATTACTTTAATTTTAATAGGGTTTAAATAAAAAACTATTCATTGAATTTAATCAGATGTTTACAACCTATGTATTATAGAAAACAATAAGAAAATATGCATTTATAGAGATCATGTATATATTTGGGCCAGAGGTTAAGTGTGTATTTAAAGAGAATATACATTTATAAAGAATGTATTTATAGAGAATATATTTATAAAAGTTTTACTGTATTTACTTATTTTTTTTTTTCCTTTGATAATCTTGCACTAATTTATTAGAATATTTGTAATTTACAAAATTAACTATTTAATTTATATATTAGGCCAATACCTGGCTGCTAAAAGTGCCCAAGTATAATTATTGCACTGATGTTTGCCAACTGGTTCCACATGTGGTATGTGGTGCTACCCACATTTAAAAACCCGTTATAGCATAGTACTTAGCTACCTAAAAAAACTATTTATTTAACATAAAAAACCTACTAACAACTAATTTTACTTTAACTACCAACTAGGTGGAAAAGAGTTTGAAATTTGTAATCAAATCATTTCTTTTACCAAATAATATACCTCAATTATCTTTTTTTTAAAATTTTCAAACATGACCTTCTCTTTTCATTTTTTTCTGCTACACCTGATTCCTCTAAACACTTTTTTTTTTTTTCCTTAGATGGTTTTCTGTCAATTGGTTTTCTACCGGTTAAACCTCTGTTGGCCCATTTTCTAATACTGGGTCTTTTGCTCGTGAGTTCTTTTCTGGTGTCTTGGGCAATTCTCTGGGTCTTTTCACTTTTTTGATTGTCTTGTCTATACTATTACCTTTTTTCCATGCTGCAAATTTTCACATCTTTCTCTCCAGATTATTCTATAAAAGCATTCTTGTAAAACATAAAAGAGCGCTTCGTGGCATTGCCGACTTGTGCTAGATTTCTTGTTCATTTCTTGAAGTTTCATAAAATCACTTTGACAGACCAAACCCTGCATAAGCATCTTCCTTTTTTCCAAGTGTACTTCTCGTGAGTTGCTAAGTACTACATTTTTAAAATCTCTCAAGGTGTACTTGAATCTTGTTTCTTCTTTGAGTGTGGCCCATGCCAATGGTAAAGCTTGCTTTTCTATTTCTAACCAGATATCTTCATAGGCTTTGCAGCTAAAAAGATGGTCTAAATCCTCTATTTTGTCCTCATTACATAGGACACAATTGGCTAAAGAGTAAACATGTGGGCTGCACTGATGCAATTTATTTAGTGTTAGAAGTACTCAGAAAAAACCTTTAATTCGCTTGATAAGTTTGTTACTAATCACTAGTAACCTACATCTTTGGCCCCTAAGCTCTATTAATTTCTTCCAACATAAGGCCCAAAACAGGTTATTCTCATGTTCTGTTTTTCAAAGAGCTCACAGCTTTTCGATAAATACTATTTGCTCTCCACAAATCTTCTTTTAACTTTTAGTATAAAGCTCTATAGAGGGTATTTAATATTCTTATCTTGTCACAATATATCGAAGCTCCATCAAGAGCGAAGACTACTTGGCCATTTCCATGTATCATCAAGATAGGCACTCTCTTTTGCTGTACAATTTGCTATTTCATTCTACTTTAAACCTGCATGTGCTTTAACCTTTACTAACTCGAGATTAAGTGACTTGAACTAGACTACTTCTATAATCTTGTTGAGTATTGCTCTATTTTTTCTTTTAAGCCCTTTATTAAAGTCCTTTTCATTTAGTGCACATTTTATTGCCATGATTGTAGCTGCACTATCAGTTTTAACTTGCACACTTGAGTTTGAGATTGCTATTTAAAGTGCACATAATATCGCTAGAAGCTCTGGTCTTGTAGATGATAGCCAATTACCAATTCTGGCTCTACTTTTAAAAATCATGTCTTTTTTATCTTCTGTAATCTGGACCCAGCCTACTTCCATTCTTTCTTTGTCAAACTTGTTAAATTTATTTGGAATCCATAAACCATCTATATAGAAACTGGTTTTTTTTCTCTTATGTTCCAGATTAACTCTTAACCCATGTGACAACAAAGCTTTAATGTTGGCCGGTAGCTCCAAATTCTCTATATACTCTAGATTTTCATTCTTTACTATCTTCATACTTTCTAATATCTATTCAGGTGTATTTCTTTCTATAATAAGGGATCTATATATCTCTGTTGGAATTCTAAGGTGTAAACCCTTCTTATCTTTCGATATATACTCTATTTTACCAAGTACTTGATCTAAATTTATACTAAATCTACAACTGCCTTCTAACTCTATGTTGTCAAGATCACAACTTCTACATTGTACTAACAGGACATCTTTATTAGTTGTATCTCCTTCTACTCAATCTTCAGCTAATACCTCACTTGAACTCTTTTCTTGAACCTGTCCAATTTCAAGCTGGCCTGTTTCTTTTTTGTAAAATAGGATCCAATCTTTCTGTTTCTTATCCTGACTGATTTTTGGTAGGCTAGGTACAATCACTTCTTCGTTTCTTGCTTGCAAATGAAACTGAGCTCTTACTTTATGTCCCTCTTTATTCTCAAGCACCAAACTCTCAACCACCTTGTACCAGAGTAGAGTTGCACCACTATAGCTACGATTTTTCAGTGCCTTTACTTGCTGCCATGTTAGCAAGTTTTCACCATTTATATCTAGTATCTGATTAATGAAGTAAATTTCCAAACTTGCTTGCTGTTTTTCCTCTGCAAGGAACTTAATATACTTGCGATCATTGCTCCTGAGCCACATATAATCCAGTCTTTTTTTTCTGTGCCAAAAAATATATCTATTCTTTTGTACTGTTCTATTGTGTTAAGTGCAATGTTGCCCTTGCAGTTATGATTTATCTCAACCAAAGGGTCTTTCCAGACATTATGTACTATGCCTTTTTTCAGAATTCTCTGTCTAATTCTCATTTTAGTAAGGGGAGTGCCATTTATTAGGTGATTAGGGTTTACTAAGTAGATTACCCCCCTACTCCCACCTAACAATAAATCCAGAATTTTGATTGGCTAAAAAAATTAGAATAGCTGCGTAGGACCAGCACGATCATGTAACTTTGTTATTGATTTTAGAAATTTTATTTTAATTCGGTTTTATTTTTTTAGTTATTTATTTAAATGGTTTGATTAAAGGGTTTAGTCTATTATTACTTTTATTCTTCGTGGTATTGTTTTTGTGTATTTACTTTGTTTGTATACTGTGTAGTATAGTTATAGTATTTTGATGTTTTGTGGTATTTTTTGTTAAATAATTTTTTTTTTTTACGATTTTTTAAAGAAACATTTTTTATTTATTTTTTTTTGTTTTTAATTTTGATATATCCATATATGACATAATAAAGAATAATAGAATAAAAGAAAGTAAATATAATTTATAATACATATTTGTTTTAGAATATTTTAATGTAAGTTTTATGTTTAAATTTTATATTTTTTGTGTAATTATATAAATTTTTTGTTTTATATTTCTTTATATTAGTTGATATCTTTAGTTAATTCAGTTCATCTTCTTGTATTATGGAGCGGTGGTTGGATCATTTTTCTTTGTCTTTGTTTGGTTTTTCATAATTGCGTTTAGGCTTTTTATTGTTATCAGTAATTTCTTTATATTCATCATTCTTGTTTATAGTTTCATTATTATTTTGTTCTATACATTTTTCATATACGTCATTATCTTCAGTGTAATCATCTTTTTTGTCTTCTACTGTAGTATGTCTGGCTGTATTTAAATTTTCTGCAACCAAATTGGTTACAAATTCATTTTTTTCTTTATTGAAGATTGAATTTGTAGTTTCTGAGTTTTTAGTTGTATTTTCGTTAACATTTTGGTGTATTGATAGAAGTTTTGAATAAACGGTTCTGTATAATTTGTTGTTGTTTGAGAATTTCCTGTTTCGTAGATTTTTTTTTTATTCTATAATTGATATAGGAAATATCAACTGCATATATATATAGTTCCTTATTAATTACTTCCATTTGTCTTACAATAAATAGTATTGACTTAGTTGATCAGGTAGAATTTATTAGGTGTTTGAATCGTGAGTTAAGGTATGGAAATATAATTTTAATAATGAAGCTATAATTTTGTCTAGCATAGTCTTCAACTTTCACATTAATCATTGCATTTTCATTATCGATTTTTGTTGGCGTATCTTGCATAATTCCTACAAACGAAGCTTTCAAAGGGCATTTGCTTGAACCAAGATCTCTTTTGATCATGAGATGAGTCAAGAAAGTGACTGTCATCTAAATTTATTGAATTAGATATTTATATTATATTTATAATTAGTTTTTTGTTACTTTTAGTTTCAAGCTGCCGTTAAAGTTCGCAAATACAATTTTTCTACTGACACAATAAAATTCATTTTTTTCAAAAGCTGATTGAGTGTTAGGATCTCTTTCTTCATCGTTTATTGGTATGAATAAGACCATTTCAAGTTCATAATCTTCGCTTTCGATGAGATAAGTACTAGTAGTGTATGTTGTTAATTTAGTTTTATCTTTATAAGTTTGACGGATTTGATCTATTTTCACAATTGTATCTACGTGACAGGGCATGATAAGTTATTTAAATTTTTTATTGGTTTTAATTTTTATATTTTTAGCGATAGTTCTTTTATATTTTTTTTTTGTAGTTATAATTATATAATATATACATCATTTGAATTTTTTTTTAAATGTGAAATATAACTTTTTAAAAAATTTAGAATTGGGCTTAATTATGTAATATTACATTATGTGAATAAGTTTTTGTTTTTATAAACTTAATAAAGTAGTTCATTTTTTATTGTTATAATTTGTTGTGATTTATTTAATATAGTATAGTGATTAAATAGATTGCTTTGTTGGGTTCAATGAGTTGTCAGATGTTTTTTTTGTAATTTCATATTTTTGATTTAGTTTTAAGTATTTTTTTCTCAAGGTCATGGGATATTACTTTTGAATAATATAATTTTAGTTAGATTGTTATTAATAATTTTTCTTTTTTTTTTATGAGTGATATTAGTAATAGATATTGTAAGATTTTATTTATAATTTGGTTTTGACTAAAGTATTTCAGTTTTTTTTTTATGTTTTATTTATGAGCTTATATGTTATTATATTATATGTTGATTATTTTAATAATGTTGGTATTGCTAATTGATTTTGTTATAGTTTTTGTTCTGTTCAGTTATTTTATTTTTGTTTGTCAGTTTTTGTTCTGGGTTGTTGTTATTTATGTGACTAGTATTTAATATTTAAGATTAAGAATATTTATATTCAAGTATTTATTATACAATTATATGTAAACTTTTTTGTATATGAAAGTTGGATTTTTTAAAAAAATTATAAATAAACTATTGAGTTTTTTTATTATTATGTGGATATCAGTTAAAAATATATATTTGGATAATTTTTGTTAATGGTAAATGTTGTATTGTATATTATATATTAAGTCTGTTAATTGTCTATATATATATGCATTTGCATATTTGCAATATATTAAGTAGTATTTTTTTATTTTTATTTTTATTTTTTTTCTTTTTAAGTTTATTATTTTTTTTTAATTTTTTATATTCATGGGTTTATTTTGTTTTAAGGTTTATTTATTATCGAAGTTTCAATGTTTATATTTATTGTTCATTAGTATTAGACCACATGACTAGTTGTTTGGTTATTTTTGAAAACATATCAAAATGTTCAAGTTCTTTTCTTAGATTATTATCAATAGTATTATTAAGCTTCGATTAATTAAATAGTCAGAGTATTTTCATGTCTTCTAGTTTTTACACTCGAGGTAACATGATATAAACACCTGCATTTACATTTTCACCATTTAGATTGATGATTACTTTTTTTAGAGTAGCACCTTGACATTTGAATTCTGTAAAAGCAAAAGCTAGTGTAATTGGTAGTTGTGTTCTTTCAAATTCTCTTGTCATATTTGATTCATCTTTAATTTTATGCATGTATTTGCATTTTCGTTTAACTATACAAATTGGCACATGATTTGGAGGAAGGTTATCATACTGACCAGATATACAATCTAGGATTTCTACTATTACATATTTGGGAGGTTTGTTAAATATAATTTCTTTTTCATTAATTTTTCATTTTTTGTAATAGTTGATGTATTATTATATACAATTTTTCGAAGAATGCCCTGTGTACCATTTACTATTTCATCACGTATGCAGATGTTGATAGTTATTGCTACTTTCATTCTGATAGACAAGAGCAATATACTGCACAATGCGTTTGATTTTACATCTGACACACTCAAAAATTTCTGTTTTATATTGCTGCTAACAGATCTATTTTTATATATATCTTCAGCGCAAATATAATAAACAGGTTGATAGTGATTTTTTGCATGTTTTATTGTAGCTTCAAAGTTGATTTGCATTCATAGATTATTTCTTCTAACTAAATATATAGCATCTCTCCACTCTGGTAAATTTATTTCATCCAGTGTTATTTATGATTGCAAAGTGTTTCTCGTTGTAATGTTGTTAGTTAACCGTAACATAAATTATTTAATATATTTGCATATTCTGAATCGTTAATCAGTCGCATTTGTTTTTCTAAGATAATTGCATGTTTCACTGATTTCTACAATTCTCTGCTGCTAGTATTTGTTAGCACACAAGTATCGAATCAATTTAATTCTTGTGTCTTACTTGTCTTAGGTTTATTTATCTTGGCAGGTCGATATAATGGTGAATCTAGTACTGGAGGAAGCTGCATAAAGTCTCCAACAAAAAGTATATTCAATCTAGCAAAAGCTATAGTATCATCTTGAAGATATTTTGTCTCTTTAACATGTGTATTAAATCATGATAAAAGTTCTTGCTCTATCATTAATATTTTATCTATTAGATATTCTATATTAGCTCAACGTTCTTGAAGTGTTTTTTTGGGGCTTTGTAAGTAAAATTTTGGTTCAAATCATAATATCATCATTATTAAACTTAAAATTACATAACAAATGAAGTGTTGAACCATTAATATTTGATGCTGCAAAGCCTGTTGGTGCACAAACTCAAGACTTCGTTTCTAATCGTTAATTTTAAAATATTTACATATTGCCTTGATGACTTTTGATTTTCCAGTGCCTCTAGCACCACCTAAATATATTAATAACTGGAATGGTTTGTTAGGACTATCAGGATAGTTTTGATTGCAGTAATCATATACAAGCTTAAAAATCTGCTTTTGTTTATCATTCAGGTTATTTGAAACAGTTTGTAGATTTTTTTGATTTATAGTTGTTGTTTGTATGTCATTTGAATTTTTCTAGTAAATTTTTTTGGTGTCAATTTAGTTGTATTGTCTTTTTTAAGATCTTGGTCGTCAGTTAAGTGTTCCATTTGTTTTCTCAATGTTATAGTTTCTTGCCATTTCTGTATTAAATCATTGTCATTTTCTTGTGATAGTCGAATTTGACTTTTGTAATTATTTTAAGTTAAATTATTAGGTTCATTTTGTTTTTCTTTTGTGAGTGTATTTGTGAGAAATAAATGCAACATTGCATTATCAGCAAAATTTATATTGTGTAGCCCAGACCACATAATCATATATGGATTTAGAGAATTCAAATTTTCAACATCAAAATCATCTTGTTCAATAAACATTTTTATATCATTACATTGAGTATCGTAACTGGTTACTGACCTTTCTATTTTTCAAATTTTTGTGATTTCTGGGTTATCACAGGACATTTAATGTAATTGTTTATCTATTTCAGTTTCTTCCAAACATTGATGTAAGAGCTCAATATTATCAATTATAGTTTGTAGTCGTAGTGATAAGTTTGAATTATGTAAAAAGTTATCACACGTTTCTTGCCAAGAATCATATCTGATTCTAAGGTTATCTGCAGTGGTCCAAGGTTTAAAAAGCAATAAAATACGGAGTCCATAATGCTCTACATTTTCGATATTATTCTTTTGTAGTATTACTTTTCTACAAATTACAAAGATTTTTTTATTTCCATGACTTCAATGAATTTGCATATGTGTAGAGTGCTGTGGATATATATATATATATATTTTTAATTCTTTGACAGGTCTTGCTGTGACTTGCCCTCTTAGTTTTTAAGTACATTTGATTTATATATATTTATTTCTAAGACTAACTAAAAGCCTGACTTCACCCGGTTGCCTGTGAAGGTACCTAGGTGCAACCCATCGCACTAGCTTACAGATAAGCCAGAAAAGAAGCTCTCCTTAAGAGCTTGTCCAAAAGGGGTTTGCACCCTTTTGTATCCAACCCATGATAGCATCATACTATGTTTTTCTCATCTCCTTTTTCTTTAACACAACCTCCTTTTCTTTAACTCCATTTTTGTTCTTTTTCTTTCTAGAGTTGGGCGGCATCCTACTTTTGTTATCAATCGGTCTTCTCTTGTCCCTTCTT